TGGCGATCAGATACAAGGAAGGCTTCTGGATGTCAGACAGCCCTGCTGCTTTGATGGGAATGTGGTTCATGCCACCATGCCCTTCGCCGGCAACCGCATCATGATGGTCTTCTTCTGTGTCAAGCAACATGTTCCCGTTTCACCTCATGCTTCTTGTCTCTCTTTCGCTCGTTTTCTTGGTCTTCGTGTCCCCGTTCTTTCCTCTTCTTTGTCTTTCTCGTCTTGCTTCTCCCCCCTCTCCTCCCCTCTTCTCTCTCTGCCCGCGTTTCCTTGTTCTTCGTCGTGTCCTTCCTTGCCTCCTTCTGCTTCTTCTTCTTCTTTGTCTCGCGCTCCCCCTCGTCCGTCCGCTCGTCCCCCGTTGTCTCCTCCTCTTTCTCCTGCCTCCTCTGTCGCCTCCCTTGTTTCTTCGTCCCTCTCCGTGTGTTTCTTCCCTCCTTCTCCTTTCTCTCCTTGTTCTTCCTTTTCCTGTCCCTCGTCTTGTTCCTCTTCCTCCCTGCCTTCTTGCTCCTTTGTCTGGTCTTCTTCTGATCTTACCGTCGACGCTGCAGATGCTGCTTTTTCAAGTGACATGTCGTGGGAGGCGTAAAAAGACACCTTTGATCGTGCTTCATGCTCTTGCACCGTCCGTCTTGTATTGCACTTCTAATTCTCTTGATGCATGTGCTCACAAGCGTTTTGACAACCTTCATCTGCAATATGGCACGCGGCCGGTATGTCGATGTTTGGAAGGAGGACGTACCTCGTCGCTGTATTCTCTCCTTTCTTATGGTATGCAGCATCGTTCAGGTATATTCGCAGCGATGTGACAATCCCAGTTATTGTCGGACTCACCAGTTCGCTCAGTGGCAACGATGGCTTGCATATGGAACAGGGCGATGCTTTCAGGCCCACAATTTTCATGGACTGTCCAATGATGCCGCTACATTCAGCTTCACACATCTGCTTCCACGCTGTAGTGATTCTTTATTGCGGATCTCTGTGCAGTGCCGTGCTCAGACTTTGCGACATATCAAATTTCTGATGAGATTGCGAATCTGTCAAGATTCTCGATTGACGCCATTCTGTACATATCAGTTTATGGGCATTGAGACATGTTGGTGCCAGCTTCATCAAGTCACCTTTTCGGCATGTGAGTTTCCTGATGTAGAGGTCAGAGTTGTATAGTCCCATGTGAGTCTGGAAAGAAGAGGCCGGCTGCAGACAGGGTTTTTGTCATGTGCATGCATGAAGTTGCAAGAGTGCTTCTTACGGCAGATGTTGGGCCAAGCTAAAGTGTTTTGGTCACTAGACTGCCAATGTCCGGATCGTTGCCGAATTGCACCGACATAATCAGAAGTCTGGATAGAGAACAAGTCAAGGCGCTTTTTCGGATTCTGGGGGATCAACGGCAAACAGAAGTGCTTCTGTCGTACCTTCGCCGTCGGATTCAGGCAGATGCGGATGCAGTTATTGCCACACACTTTGGTGCGCTGTCTTCTTCTACTCCGTCGTCTTCTTCCTTGCCTTCTTTCTCTCCCCTTCCTGTTTCTCCCCCTCCTTTGCCTCCTCCCGCTTTTCCTCCTCCTCCGGCGGTTCTTCCTGTTCCTGCTCCCTTTCCGTTTTCTTCCCCACTGGCTTCTTTCGATGTCTCTCATGGAGTTGATCACAATGAAGCTACACAGACGCTGAATGCTGGATCTCACATTTCTGAAGCGGATCCTCACCGGCGTGATGCATTGCCTCGAAGACGCCAACAGAGTGCCAATGCTGCCAGACGCAGCAGATCCTTGAGTGAATCGCAAGTCCGGAGGAGATCACGTTCACGATCTCGATCAAGATCAAGCACAACTGTTTCACCTGGAGGATCACGTCACATTCGGTAAGCTTGCCGTTTCGGTTTGAAAAAACAAGTGGAAGTCGCTGCGGTTTGTTCGCTTGATTCTGCAGTCTGTCATGTTAGGACGAATCTTCTGTTTCCCAGTGCACATGGTGCTTTAAGATCGGCTGCACCCTGATGATTTCGCTGGCTTCAGGCTCAGGGCTTTGTCTTCGTTGCGTAGTTTTTGGGGTACGGGGTTCACTGATGAAGCGCACAGCAAGTATGGCGGCCTTACCCGCCCCTCCTGCGATGCTTCGGATTCCAATAGCTGTACCACCCGATATTTGCACTGGAGGACGAGAGTTGAGCTTTTGGATTATGATGCCGGCAGATTCCACTATTGATGACCTGAAGAAGAAGCTTTGTCGGGAGCTTGAAGAACGCACGCGGATACCTCCTCGTATGAACGCTTTCCAATTATGGCAGTTCGGATACCATTTGCCCTTTACCTCATCGATCTCCCGGGTTTCTGCTTTTCCATTTACTGCCCAGCCTGTCCGATTTGTAAGAACATGGCCACACGAGTCAATGAGTTGGTTCTGAGATGCTCATGCGACAATGGAACAAATGAAGTGTTCTGTTTATGCTTGTACCTTGCTTTCTGAGCGTTGCCACGTGTGTTGCTGCTTTTGTTGCTGATTTTGAAATGAATGTCAGCTCGAGCTTCCTTGCAGTTTCAGGTTAGAGTAGAGGTTAACTCTGCGGTGCCATGTGGGAGCTCTCCATGTTGAATGACAAAATGTTGCAGTTTGTCAGTACAAGACGTCATATCATCTTCTTCTTCACCTTTCCTCCATCAGATCCGTTCGAGACTCTGGATATTACCCTTCGACGACATGGATTCTATGCCATGCAGGATCTTGAGCAATTCGTTGCTCAATGCAGAACAGAAGGTCTGGACTTTCGCGCCGAGGTCTGGGAATTCTTCCTCCAAGGACCGTCAGTATATACGCCAATTACTTGTGAAGCTCCTGCACTTCCTCATGTTGTGGTATTTGCGTCCGTACGCAAAGATTGGTATTTATCAGTTATTCGATTGCTTGGCAACCGGTGCTTCATTGATATTCAACAGCTATGGCGTCTCGCCCAATTACGACATGCAACGGTGGAGTGGATCCACCATCCAAACGAAGACAGGCTACGTATTGGGTCCGCGTTCATTAATGATTTCAATGTACGTCGCCTTGTTCCGCCTTTGTAAAGGTCTGAGCGGAGCGTGACATATTAATGCGACCGTGGAACAAATGCAGCGCTCTGACTTGTCCTCTGATGAACAATGTTCGCCCCCTCGGGGGCCTGTTTGTTTTATCCTGCTGTACATGCGAGTTTTTTGCAGTCCATGGAGGGTTTCACTCATGTTTGCCTCTTTTTCATTTTTGACTTGAAAGAGTTTTCGTGAAGTTTGTGTATCCTGCAGGGGGCTGGAGTGCACCACAGAAGTCTCCAGCCAACGAAGACGCTTCTGTGAGTGCAGTGAAAACGTACCTGCAGTGGTGCACCTGGGGAGAAGCACTCCAGCTGGTGGCCACAACATATGTTTTCAAAACATGCTGGTTTCAAACCGTTTTACTCTCCCTGAAAACTCGGACATGTTTCTTGCATCTTTCGAACAAGGCAGGTGTGCAGGTTTGACCATGTCTATACCTGTTTTGAAGCTTTGTACGGTTGCTGCAATCTGGTTGAGCATACCCATGAGAGTCTCTGCATTGGATGATCGGAACATCAAGAAGGCGGGTCAGTAGGAGACATTTCAATTGTGTAAGCGGGGGCGACATCGTTCTGTTGCCACAGTAGCACTGCTTGAAAAGCTGTTTCACCGAATTAACCCGAATGTAGAGATAGATGTGCGCCACCTTGAGTCGCAAGGATGGTACGAAAGCACATGTGCAGGGGAATGCTCAGAATGCATGGCAAATGATACTCCTCCGCGAATGACGGAGCTGCTAGACCAAGTGTACAGTCAGATGCCGAACCGAAAGGTACCGAAAGATGTGTGGTGTCCGCGAGCGCACTAAAAGGGCTCCCAGTGCAGGACTTCAGGTTGTAAGTGGGGTACTCCCCATATAGCATCATGAGCATCTTTTGTTTTAAGTTTACCGGAACAAAAAAGCCCACAGCCCAGGTGATCTACGGATGCTTGTCAAGGTTTACCTTTAAGGGGTTTGGGCTCTCGGGCTAAGTGTTTTAGATTAGGTTTCGAGGGGCTTTCGGGCTAAGTGTTTGAGATTAGGTTTCGAGAGGGCTCTCGGGCTAAGTGTTTTAGATTAGGTTTCGAGGGGCTTTCGGGCTAAGTGTTTGAGATTAGGTTTCGAGGGGGCTCTCGGGCTAAGTGTTTTAGATCTCTCGGGCTAAGTGTTTTAGATTAGGTTTCGAGGGGTCTTTCGGGCTAAGTGTTTGAGATTAGGTTTCGGGGGGGGCTTTCGGGCTAAGTGTTTTAGATTAGGTTTCCAAGGGGTTTTTTGGGGTGTGAAGGTGGTCAAGTTTCAAAAGGGCTTTCGGGCTAGTTGCTTTAGATGTAGAATCACAACAAAGAGTAAAAAACATAGATCTTTCGGGGGGTAGCATATATATATACATATATACATATATACATATATACATATACACATATATACATCTATACATATATACATATATACACTTATTCCTTATTTGCACACCGGAATCCAATATGTTTTCTATGGAATATATATCCATATAAATGTGCGAAGGTCCCTCGCTCGCGCAACTCTATTTTTCCACGTGGGATGCTACACTCCGTGCCGTCTTCCTTCAGACGGCTAAGGGGTAGGCTCAAAAATTCTGGGTCGGGAGGGCGGGACAAGTTTTCCCCGTGCCCACACTTGAGAGGAAAGTCGCCGGAGCCACACTTCATCTCACTGCCCGGAAAACTTGCAAACGTGATTCCTAATTTCAGTTTAAAACAAACATGAAATTTGTGCAAAACTGAATAAGGAGTTCATCCTTTCTGCTTCGGGAAGTTTAAAGGAGTAAACTCTTATTCCTTATTTGCACACCGGAATCCAATATGTTTTCTATGGAATATATATCCATATAAATGTGCGAAGGTCCCTTGCTCGCGCAACTCTATTTTTCCACGTGGGATGCTACACTCCGTGCCGTCTTCCTTCACCCCGATCATCTACGGCATGACCTGGTCCCACGGAATAGCACGCCTTGCAGCACCTCTTTTTAAAAGAGGCTCAAATTCCAGCCGTGAGGGATTGTCTGCTATGTTGCAAGCAGTCGGTACGCGAGCGAACCACGTCTTCAGCTGCAAAGTGGTTTCAAGCTGAAGGAAAGATTCAATCACAGCATTGGCGAGTGAGCCACCGCCAAAGGTTCGGATCAGAGAATGGCGAGCACCATCATTGTCAAGATAAAACACCACTTGAGCTCCTTTCAAGCGCTCTGCCCAAATGACAAGGCTGATCAGTGCTGGAATCAACTCAAGCTCGAAAATGGGATTTGCGCTGATGCTCAAAAGCTGCTGCATCATATCACTTGGAACTGCCTCACCGAAGAACTCGCACGGAGTACCAGAGGCATTCACAAGGACGCCTCCGACACCTCCCGTGCCTTCCTCTGGATTGCAAGCCCCGTCAGTGAAAACGATCAGTGTTGTGATGAGGTTTCGCTCGACAACTAAAGGCTGGCTCAGGGCTATTCTTTCACGAAGCCACGTCAACGCCCACATCAAATCTTCAGTAAGATTCTGAGGGGCAAACTTTTCCACGCACTTTGCAACAACTCGCTGAGCCCGGTTAGAAACCCTTCCAAAGGTGAAACCCTCGAAGAAAACCATACGACCCCTAAGGCGTTCGGCCGCCTTCGAGTCGATCTTTCCTTCCTGAAGGATGGTTTGGATGTACTCGGTGAGCTCCTCCTTTCGCTTCTGAGTATGACCCACACGAAGGATCCGCTGCTTCACACAAGACAGATCAACAGAGAGGCCGAGCATGTTGAAGGTAACTCCGAAGGGTTCGGCTTTGGAGCCGTCCTTGGCGAAGCGGAAACCAAGCAGGTCAAACAAAGTTTCCACAGTCCACTGGGCATTCGATTCCAGGCTCTTCGCAGAAACTATGCTGTAGTCATCGAAAAAGGCAGACCAGAATAGCCTGAAAAGGACTATTCCGATCTTCCACAAGGCGATACTTATCCTTAGGAAAGCAGCGACCGACCCCACCCCTCCAAAGGGGAGGGCGTTTACGCCCAAGAAGCTCGGCTTGTGGTGGCCTGGCCTGTTGACAGCAATGCGTAGCCTTTCACGGTCAGCAGCACACACACCGAATTGCTTGTACGCTGCCGTAAGGTCGAAAGTTCTGCCGCAGCACTCAGGCATAACACCGGACACGACATCAAAGGCATGAGCCATCATGGCCGCAAGCTTATCTATCGTATGCAAGCAAAACTTTTCCAGCAAGCCCACTGTCGCGTTTAGGCCGCAACAAGAAAGGTCATCAATGACCCTCAATTTGTTCTGCATGATTCCGAAGCGCATAGCAATCGAGACCATCTCAGGAACCGGCCCTTCCTCAAGCCACACCCAACCTGAGTCAATCTCCTTTTGGGTTTCAACCCAGGTGGATTCTTCAATTTCGGAATCCTGCCTCCTGGACAGCTTTTGCAAGGTCGCTTTGTTCAAGCCCTTCGACAAAACTCCCAACGTCTCGACACTGAATTTGGGCCGTCTGGACCTCGGCACAAACTCACCCGACGCGGGAAGCCAGCCCGACAACTTGAAACCTTGGCATATATCAGAAACAAGGTCGACATCCTCACACCCTGCGGCTCTCATCATCTCTTGGAGAAGCAAGAGCTTCTTTCCTTTAAGTATGGGCCGCAGGTGATCAGGGAGATTTTGGTGAAGTTCCTGCTCCTTTTCCTTTAGGGCCCCTGCACGACCAATCCAAAACTTCATTGCATCAATCCTGAAGGACGCAAGTTCTGCCGGAGGAGCCTCAAAGTTAGCACGTGCACTAACGGTGACGAAAGGCTCAACATGGACTGCCAAGGACCGTGGGTGGCCTGCCGCAATAGCTCTCGCAACAAAGACCTCTTCAGAGCACGGTACACCGACTTGCACAAGCTCTGCACAAGCAGGCGGATGCAAAGGGTCCAAGCCCACGATGTTTGTTTTTGGCTTGCCAACTCCTTCGAGGAGACTCTTCAGCGAACCCCACTCACACACACGTCTCGAGAAGATTCTGGAGCCCTTTGGAAGGGAAGAAAGCACAGCTTCCAACGGCTTGTCACATTGCACTGGCACAACGAAATCCAACGTCGTGTCAAACTCCCACACAAGCGAAGGCAAGGAGTTGCCCCTGGGTTGAGTGCCCAGATTGATCCGGGCGACATTCGCAGAAGGATCCTGTATTGCCTGCGCAAGCACACGTGGCCCGAAGGACAAGCTGGGATGCGCATGAACGATGCAACCAAGGATACGATCGACGAGGAGCGGGGGAAATTCGGGTTCATCTGCTGTGATGAAGCTCACCCGCTTCCTTTTCGAAATGAAAGGTCGCCACGGTTTGTGCTCGTGTGACCCGTCACAGCGACCCGCAAGCATGCCAAAAACGTCCTGTGACGACCAAAGCTGCATCAACTTGGGCCTGTGACCCCCATGCACACAGGCATGAAATTTCACAAAGTGACCCTGCACATGATTGGTCACCTGAGCACAGAAAGAAGTGTCCCAATAACGGCTGTTAGAAGGACTCTCCAAGACTGTCAGAATGCCAAGATCACAAGCCTCACATGCAATGTTTGCAAGCTGATCAAACAGTTGATTTGCACGCTCAACCTGGAGTTTATCACGACCACGCAAAGTCGGCAAGCCATCCGGATGCAACGCCGACCTCAAAGCATTTGGCATCTTCAAATCAAGTTCAACAGAGCCCGGCTTACGGCGTTCACGCATGAAAGATGCGGTGCCCACCGGAGGTGAGATGAAAACACAGATGACGTGATGATACTCAACTCGCAAGAAATCGACAACTGCTTCAGCCTGAGCTGGATCACTCAAATCCATGATGACAGCTTGTTCACCAGCCCTCTTTCTAGAGGAATCAACTGCAAAAGGCCTGAAGCCTAACTTTGCAGCTGCCTTACTAAGAACGGCTGTCCCAGCACACAACTCAACGAAGTACATTCCCGCCGCCGACTGCCGGACACTGCTGGCATCACGCTGTGACGGCCTAACAGGGGAGAGGCACCTAGGGTCCCAGGAAACCACAAAAGGGCCTAAACCCAACGGAGACACAGAAAACCCGAGCCGCTCAGCGACAGCTCGTAATTCAGGCCGGAGCTCCTCGCACTGACGCACCGAATAAGCAAGCATGACAACTCTGCGACCTTTCCACGGCCTAGTCTCATGAAAATCTTTAGGCTTCGAGAAAAAGGTGGGGCCTGCGGCCACATCAAGCAGGCATCCCTCCAAAGAAGGGTCATTCAACGAAGCGACATCACCTCCAACCTTCTGAAACCAAAGTTCACCGTTCTCAAAGTCCGTCAAAGGCACCAACAATGTAGGGCCATCACGATTGTTCTCGTCGCGGTGCAAACCTGAGGCAAGATTTTCATGGACTGCAAGTGAAGAGTAACTGAATGCAGGGCACACCCGACTCACAAGCAGGTTGAAAACCTTGATAGAAAACGGGAACATGTCCATAGTCCTATGCAAACCCAAAATCCCGCCACGCCGGTAGACGCCCATGCTGAATCGGGCTCCACCCGATCCCTGAAATGCCCTAGGAGGATTTTGCGCCTCCTGAGGCAAAAGCTCCAAAAGATCCAGAGCTGCACTGGCTGTCAAGCACGACGGCTGCCGCAAGAGAAACTTCGCAAGAGCTTCAGGATCAGTGAACTGCGGCCTATTTGGGCGAGGACTAGAACCAAATTTAGGGGTATCAGGTGACACTGCCATTGGCACTTCCAGCTGACCGCTGGGCTTGGGTGAAATTTGCGCCAGGCCTTCACAAGGAGATTTCCCCGGCTCGACCTGCGACTTCATCGAGGCAAGAGCCCTCGCCTTCAACGCTTGCAACTTCTCTTGAAGAAGTGTTTTATCATTCAAGATTGACCCTTCCGCCGGTCCCCGCACCTGCTCAAGAGCACGGTACACCAACGGCTTAGTCTGCTCTCCAGCGGCTGCTGCACCAACAGTGCAGTCCTCACTGTGAGAAGAATCATGCAACACAACGGACGACAATGACTCAGATAGTCACTCTTGCGCCTTGGCTTTGCACGACACTGCTGAATGCCCCGGCCTATGACACTTCGCACAGATGTGAAGGCCGCGGACACACTTAAGCCCTCCCTTGCACTTCTCAGTCTTAAGAGAGCAGCCTGAAGCAAGATTGAAATCCCAACAAACATTTCCATCTTCTGTCCTGCAAGAGTACTGCTTCAACTCTTCTGGCACAGTCCTACGTGTGCGCGCCTTCGCCTTCGCCTTTGCTTTTGCCTTGGCCTTCCCTTTCGGGACGGGCTGGGAGGAACTCTCCGCCCCATCATCCACAGGCACTGCCAAGACAGGGGCTGTCTGCTTCGGAAGCGGCAACAGGAACTGCTGAAGACGGACATCATACATCATTGCTGAAAACTTTGCATCAAGCGGCGAAACCCCGAGCGAGTCCACCTTGAAAGGAGGCGCAGCCTCCCTGGCCAATAGCAGAAAAAGCTCCTTATCCGCACGCATGCATTGATTCAAACTGACTGGGCTATAACTCGGTGGCGGGGTTGCTGAAAGGCAATCCAGCATCTTCTGAACCCACCTCTGATGCACATCCCAAGATAGAAGGTGACAGTTGTCAAAAGCTATGCCTCTTCGCATCATGGCCCACTGAAAACGCAGAGGATCCGAAACATCACAAGCGATAGCCTGGTCACCAGGCCCCACCTTTATGACGTTTTGCTCCACCTGCAACAAGGAGCTCCTATCCTTGCCCAATGCAAGGACCTCAGCTTCCCTCTTGGCACATTTCGATGCAGGGATCCAAGTAAGAACTCCGGACTCGTATTGCTGATTTGCTAAGTCAAGAAGCTGATGCGAAGGCTCAAGCTCTCCAGAAATTTCCATTCCTGAAAGTCGCCGCCTCTGGAATTCCAGCCTGGCCCGTTTTTCAGGGACCGGAACCTTCCTGGTATGCGATGGATCAGACGGGTCGTGGGTGACCATGTCCCGGTAAGTCTGAACCACTAGAGTCGTGGCTTCGAAGTGCAGATGCCGCAAGATTGCGGTTTGCCCCATGGTAGGAGCAGCTCCGTACACCTTCACACTGAATTCATCAAACTGAGCCTCCGTAGGCGGCTGCTGAGGCGACCCTATCGCGAAAGCCAATGTCTTGAAGCACCGGATGCCTTGTGCCACCAACTTGGTATGCAGAGTCGCATCCTTCGAAGCTTCAGCACATCTCTGATTAAAGGCAGCCTCGCTTTCGATCACGGTCGACATGTTGGAAACCTACGTACCCTAGCAGCACAAACCTACAACGTGAGAAAACGCACTCAAACACCATGCAAATCTCTCACATGTTTGCATGCAACAATCTGCCATGGATCACATCTCGGGCCTCCGCGAGCAAACAAGTCAAAGCCTACTCCACGGCGTGCGCACATGCGAGCAGAAAGCATGCAACTGAAGACTCGCAAACAAGGCTCACTCTCGGTTATTAGCCGCCTCGCTCAAACGTTCTTGTTGCAAATCCTACACTTGCTGAAGTCCCACCGGAGGTCCTCTGCCCGTATCTTGACATGCAGAGATCCTATGGCCCTTCCGCAAGCAAAAACCTTAGTGTAGCCGGTAGGGGCAAAATGCACCACTCTCGACTTCTCGTGCCTCCACACATCATGACCCTCAGGAACATTCACTACCAGCTTCGAGAACGGTCCCTCAGCCTCCTCCGCGCACGAGTCGCTGGAGGAAGAGTCCGTAGTGATATGCCCGGTGGCCTCAGCGTCGAGGGCTTCCTCATCGCCTGCAAGGTTTTGAGCAGCATCATCCCCTTCGATAGGAGAGGGCGGGTCATGTTCCTCCTTTATCACAACTACCTCTGAACGCCGATGCGAGTCAGCGGCTTTGCCCACCAAGCGCCCGCTACGAGTCTCATCTGGGAGAAAAACTCGATCCCTTATCTCCTTGATCATCCGCTCCAAGATCATCAAAGGATGAGCTGCAGAATCACGGGAGTATGTCAGGGCCATGCGGTGCGGCGTCGTGTGATATCCCAACAGCTGCCTGTCGACAATACTGATTCCCCTCTTTGCCGCATAGCTCAACATGGTACACTTGCAGCTATGCGATGATAGCTTTCTGTCAGCTTGCTTCGATCCAGAACCCGTTAGCAGATGTCTCAGCCACCTGCCCATCTCCTCAGTGTCCAGCGGCCTGACACTAGCAGCACCAGACTTATCCGGCGCCGGCATGACAGGAAATTCCGGAGGATCTGGAATGTTGAGTTCCTCTCTAGCAAGCTTCCACAGCCTCGCCCAGTTGGAACCCGCAACTCCCAGGCCAGGAGCCACCATAGGAAGCAGATCATGCCGCATAACTCGGCTCCTCATATTCTTATGGTACGCCACGGGGCACTCCACATAGGCAAGATTCTTCTGGTTGTCATAATCATAAATAATTCCTTCTGCATGCATCAGGTCTGACCATCTTGCCCGCGAATATACACACAGCAAAACTGCTCCAGCGAAAACGCGGTCCCACGGGTCCTGTGCGTTCTCCAGCCGGTCGTGCAGAAGGGAGAGCTCATCCACCGTCAGCGGCGAAGCCCTGTTCCTCGGCCTCACCTCGCCACGGCACGCATTGCCAAGGCAACGCCTGCTCTTGACACATAGGTCCAGCTCCTCTACCCCCAGGACGTATCTGCAGAAAACCACTGCTTCATACGTAGCCTTTCTCGAAGATAAGCTGGCACCCCCATCCCTTTCAAGACAGAGGAACATGTAAAGCAAAATCTCGTTTGCAGGGAAAACCAGCTTCTTCTGACGAAGGAAAGCTTCATACTTCAAGAGACTCCTTAACCTCTTGCGAAGTGTGCCCGGGGCCTTTGCACCCAGCACATCGTAAGTCATGGCCTTCCTTTCATCGTCAGTGGGAAGTTCGCAAAGCTGATCCCGCACCTGCACACCTTCAGACCATCTGCCAATGAAAACAGCCCAAGCACTGACCGCTTCCAAAAGCTGTTCCTCGCGCTGCTGCTTCCACGATGCAACCACTCTGTTAACAACGGCCATCTCGAAAATTCTAGTGACGACCCTTCCCGCCCTCTGCGGGTTCTTCGAAGGTTGCTCCAAGACGCCTTCTGGGACGCCAGGCTGCAGAGGCCTCTTGAGGCCAGTTCCATAAAACCCACGGAAGGAATCCTCTGACTGAGGAGTAAAAATACTTCCCCAGAAATCGTTCTCCCAGACTTGCTTTACTTGAGGAACATCCAAAGTTTGGAAAGCTGCCGCCATCGACCTGTCCAGATTCCTAGCAGAAGCAGCAGAAGAGCCTGCCGCCGCAGATGACAAGCCCCAACCAGGAGCCTCCGTCGGAAGGCTCACTGAACCCTCTGAAGGCAGAGCAGCACCATCTTCCGACAAATCAACTTTATACCAGTCTCGTTCCGCAGCGGAATTCCCACAGGACCAAACATCTTCCTCGAAAACATCTAAGTTTGCAGAAAAAGCCCCATCAACTGAGTTTATCTCCAGATGCTCCCCGCTTGCGACACCTGCGGCCTGAGAGGCATCCTCAAGGGGATCGCAAGACCAAGCATTGTCACCAGGCTGCCCCGAAGACCTTCCATCCACCCCTTTCCAAAAGAATGTCAAGGGCAGACCATCTTCGGCATCGGAAGGCTCGGCTTCCGACTGCATCAGCGGAGACCGAAATAGCGAAGCCGAAGGCGACGCGCGTCGGCAGCCGCAAAATCCGAAGTAGCCAGTAAAATGACTCGGACAGCTCTGTTGACGCAGAAAAGCTCGTAAGAAAAGTCTAGGCCCAGGAAACGCAGCACCAAGCTATTCGGACGCGAAGCGCCCAGCAAATTTTCAAGGTCCAGCCCTCGAATCTCACTGCGCCAGTCCCGGACCTCTTCCTCCTCCTCGAGAAACAAGAGAAGAAGGCGCCGATGTGGCACCGGAGGCAGCTCGCGACGGCGCGCGGCCATCCCTAGCCCGACAAGTTTTCCCGGTGCCCACACTTGAGAGGAAAGTCGCCGGAGCCACACTTCATCTCACTGCCCGGAAAACTTGCAAACGTGATTCCTAATTTCAGTTTAAAACAAACATGAAATTTGTGCAAAACTGAATAAGGAGTTCATCCTTTCTGCTTCGGGAAGTTTAAAGGAGTAAACTCATATACACATATACACATATACACATATACAGATATACAGATATACATATATACATATATACATATATACATATATACATATATACATATATACATATATACATATGTACATATATACATATATACATGAATACTTATATAGATATATACATATATACATATATACATATATACATATATACATATATACTGCTTCTTCAGGACGCAGCGAACGAGTCGTCGCCTAGCTAGCTAAGGCAGAATCTTTGGTAGATTCCGGCGCCTCTGTGGGCGCGCACCTTTGGTGCCCCCTCTACGAGTGCGCAGCCACGAATGGCAGTACGCAGCGTATGCACAGCTAAATTGCATATGTGAAGTGCACCGGCATTGAATGCCGACTGCACTGCAGTCACTCCGAGCTGCGAGGCCAGTGCGAACTGCCCCAAATCATATACGCATGACGGCTGAGCTCCACCGTGCTAGCATGATTATCATCGTGCAGCCATGCCCACACAGTGTTTTGGTCCCAACGCGTTAGGCAGCGATAGTGTCCGCAGTGCAAGTCAGCACCGTAGTGCAGCGCCATTGCACTGACCTGATACGGATGCCAACGGACTACGAGGTCATCTGGTGATGTAAACTGCGGTATGCGAAGCACGTCAGCCCAGTCAGGGAGGGCCTGGCTGTCCTTGCAAAAGTTGCCCCGAGCATCACGCCTGTACCGAAATAGATGGAGACAAATGACCGCGGGCATCGGCATATGGGCAAAAGCAGTGCGGTAGTGCTGCGAATGCCACGCCTGCACGCAATGCTGAAGTCCCCTGGCCTCAATGGGAATGTCAACTGTCACTGGAAGAGTGGAGTCGGCAGACGCACAAATAAGTATGCCTGCGTCTTCCAAACGTCGACATTGCCACAGACCGCAAAATGCGGTCGACCTCAAGCGCGGCATAAGGTGGAGAAGGAATTCATGCAGGTCATGCTGTTGATTGGGCCTTGCCCAATTGCCCAGCAGCATCGTCCAGCACATGTTGCGCATGAGGCGCAACTCCGGCCTCGTCTCGAGACAGCGCACAAGCACTCCCAGAGGGCCTTCACCAACACTGACCACACGCCCTACCACCCACAGTAATGCCATAAATAAAAGCTGTGTTCATGTAGCAAGCAGTGCCATCCGTATTGTGGAGTGAGGCACAAAGCAATTCTGACACAGGGAGGGAAGCTCGGAGAAAACTATGGGCCGCACAGAAGTAGATGACAACGTCAAGGGAGGAGGGCGAGGAGGCAGAAGGAATTGGCGAATACATATCTGTATAGAAACACATACAAATATACATATGTACGAAAACACATATATACATATATACATATCCACATATATACATATATACATATATACATATATACATTTTTTTGGTTCTATACATATAAAATATAAACATACACATACACATACACATACACATAACATATACGTATACGTATACATATACGTATACATATACATATACGTATACATATACATATACATATACATATACATATACATATACATACACATATACCTATACATATACATATACATGTACATATACATATACATATACGTATACGTATACACAAACATATACATATACATATACATATACACATAAACAAGTATACAAATATACACATATACACATACACACATATACACATTTACTCATATACACATATACACATATACACATATACACATATACACATATACACGTACATACATATACATATACATCTACATCTACACCTACACCAACATCTACATCTACATCTACATAAACATATACATATACATATGCATATACAATATACATAAACATATACATAAACATGTACATAAACATAAACATAACATATACATGTACAAGTACATGTACATATTCATGCACATATACATGCACATATACATATACATATACATATACATATACATATACATAAACATATACATCATTCATTTTTTCATTCGCAGCTATCCCGTGAGTTCACGAAAGCTGAGTCAGAGCCCGCTATTGGGACCCAATCACCTTTGCTGGTGCCCATCGCCTGTCCCTCCAATCCCGAGGGCACGGGCGCAACAG